GCGTGGGGACTGGTAAGGTGCGGGGGGCCGGGGCGGGGTGGGTTGGGGCGGGGCCGGCGGCCACTGACGCAGTTTCCCGCACAGGCCGGCAGGACGTACGAGCTGCTGAACTGCGACAAGCACAAGGCGCTGCTGGCGCGGAGCGGCCGCGACCCGGGCGCCGTCAGGCCTGACATCACCCATCAGGTAGGGCTGTGGCGGGGCCCCCCGCGCGGGGGGCGCTGTGGCGGCTCCCGCAGGGCTGGGCCTGGGCAGAACTCCTTCCTTACGCTCCTCGTGGCCTTTGCTGGCGGCTCCTCCCCAGCCCTTCTGTGAAGGGTGAGCTCTCTGCAAGTAGTACTGTAGAGTCCATCCCCCACCTCTGTCTTGGCAAAGCAGCTCCTGGTGACTGTGGACCAGGTGCTGGTGCTCACTGATTTGCCCTGCCCTGTATCACTGAGTTGCATGGCCTTGCCTGCTTCCCGTTTGTTTTTCCACCTCAGAGCCTCCTGATGCTCATGGACAGTCCCCTGAACCGGGCTGGCTTGCTGCAGGTGTACATCCACACACAGAAGAATGTGCTGATTGAAGTAAACCCCCAGACAAGGATTCCCCGCACATTTGACCGTTTTTGTGGTCTGATGGGTAAGAGATTCAAGCTGTGACAGCCTGGGGAGGGAGTTGGGGAAACCAAGCCCTTCTGGGAAGACTGAAGGAACAAGTTACACCTGCTTCAACTCCCAAGAGAAAAGCAGGAGCAATTCTACCATGAGTCTGGGGATGCAGACCCCAGGGGCACATTGTTTGAGAGAACTGAGATAATTAAATGAGACTGAGTTGAAAGGAGAGTGCTCTGGAGCTACCTTCCAGGGGTATTTCCATGAGGAAGTCTAATGGCTCAAAACACTGGAAACAAGGAGTTTCAGAGGTGGAACCTTAGGGTGACTTTCCTAGCTCTCGCTTCTAAAGGTAGGGTGGAAACCCCACTGTTGGAGCAGGAAGATTTCTCATTTCTTATCTTCTGTCTCTTGCCAGTTCAGTTGCTGCATAAACTCAGTGTCCGATCAGCTGATGGACCACAGAAACTTTTGAAGGTAAAAAAAAACTTATGGCTCTTTTTATAGGCAATTTCCTGACTGTTCCCAAAAAGCTGAGAATGTGGTAGGGAGTGGCCACATATTGAAGACTCAGAGCTTGTATAGTATCTCTCCCTGATCCTTCCAGGGGTATTTCCATGAGGAAGTCTAATGGCTCAAAACACTGGAAACAAGGAGTTTCAGAGGTGGAACCTTAGGGTGACTTTCCTAGCTCTCGCTTCTAAAGGTAGGGTGGAAACCCCACTGTTGGAGCAGGAAGATTTCTCATTTCTTATCTTCTGTCTCTTGCCAGTTCAGTTGCTGCATAAACTCAGTGTCCGATCAGCTGATGGACCACAGAAACTTTTGAAGGTAAAAAAAAACTTATGGCTCTTTTTATAGGCAATTTCCTGACTGTTCCCAAAAAGCTGAGAATGTGGTAGGGAGTGGCCACATATTCCCCCCCCCCCCCCCCCCCAACTTCTGCAGGTAATTAAAAATCCAGTGACTGATCATCTTCCTGTGGGCTGCATGAAGATAGGCACTTCTTTCTCAACTCCTGATGTGACGGATGCACGCAAACTAGTTCCTGAAGAACAGCCTGTTGCTGTTGTTGTGGGAGCTTTTGCCCATGGCTCGGTAGGAGAACTCGTGTACTTGCACACACCATTCTGATGTCCAAGCAGGACAATGGATCCATCTCATGGGGTGTTTTTCTTATCAGTACAGATTCCTAGCAGTGAAAGTACTAATCTGAGTGTAGTGTTCACTTGTTTAAAGCTCTTCTTTCTCGCGTTGTTTGAAACAATTTACTACCCAGGCACATGGAGAAAGTATGACAGGGGATGGATCACTCTATTCTAAAGCATCTACACAGGCAACTGGGCTAGACAGACCTTTGGTCTGAACCCTTCCTCTTCTCCCTGCCCCCTTCCGTCCTCCCACCTCAGCTCCCATGACAGTTGTATTTGTTGTGCTATTTGTCTTCACTTTTTCTGCCATTAGGGTTTTAACTTTTGTCAGGACAATTCTGTTCTCCTATGGTTTCAGCAACAGTGACATATGGCATCAGAGGTTGTCCTACACTAGCCCAAAGGCAGCTGCATTTCAGTTTTGTTTTTTTATTTTTTGGGGGTGGGGAGAGTGACATGTGCATGCTAAATGCTAGGGCTTCTATAGCAGTAGAGGGCAGTAGCTGACTAAGTGAAAGGGTTTATTTTTGCTTCTCCCTCATTTTTTTTTCTCTCCCCTTCTTCAGCTGAATGTTGACTATACGGAGAAGATGGTTTCTATCAGCAACTATCCTCTTTCTGCTGCATTGACTTGTGCCAAGATCACTACAGCCTTTGAGGAGGTTTGGGGAGTGGTGTGAGCCCTTTTGTTCTTGCCCTGGTCAAGATGGACTCCTTACATAGTCCAGATTTTGGTGCCCTTTTACTGAAGTCTGTATGTGAGACAGCCTTGGGCTCCTGTCCTTTCCAAAGAGGAGCAAGTGTACAGTTGAGAGTTTTTCTCTGCAACTCCTGAGGGCCAGATGCTAAGAAAGGCCCTTCAGGGGTGGCTATTTACTTTCCATGTATTAAAAGCTATTTTGATACATTTGTATGTTTAGACAGTTTTTGTGTTTGGTAAAGGGTACAAGAGAAATTCTGAAGGGTGTGGGCTTGCTGCAAGGAGGGAACTACACTTCTCTGCTTCAGCTGCAATGGACAGTATGAGCAAGAGTAACAGAGCCATGCTCTGCTAACCCTCTGGCAGCCAGACACCCTACAGCTGATATGGTACAGGTCTTGAGAACTACCATGGGGGGGGCGGTTATACTTTTCACTCATACCTATCCAACAGAAAAAGCAGCTTGTGAATGAGCGAATAAAAACAGATTTTTTTATCTGACATAACTGAAACGTAGAAAAGTCAGGATGTGGCTCCATTCCCATGTAGGGGCTGTGTTGAGTGCTTTACAATCATCTGATACCAGCAGAAAAACGGGAGTGTCCACCAGAGGGCAGTAGAGAGATAAGGCAACATGTAGCGTGGGGGTACTGGAGGGAGGTTTTCTCCTGTATCCCTCATTCTTGGATCTCTGACCCTGTGCTCTCTCTTCCCCCTCCTCACTTTGAAAGAAGGGTTGGACTTCAACACAGCAAACTTGGCAGGCAAGGACTCCAAACACCCCTGTGACAAATGCACACGCGGTACAATCTGGAAGAGATAATGAGTCAGGATTAAAAACTAAGCAATTTCCAGCTGAAAGCGCTAATTATCTCAATCCTGATCTACAGCCTTGCTCTCCTGTTCTAGCCTTGAGCTCCTTTCAAGGTGTTAGATAGATGGCCTTCAATCTCACCTTCTGGCTGTTACTCTGCTTTCTTTAGCTTTTCTTTCCGTGGCACAAGCATTCTGTGGATGTAAGGCAACCCAAACAGTAAGGTGAGGAACAGCACATGGCCTATGAAATAAACTGAGCTGTAAACCTGTAGAGAAGAAAATCATATTAAAACCTTCTGCTTGCTTTACCTTCAAGTTAGAATGCAGTGGGGGGAGGGGGAGAAAAAGAGAGTAATTTCAAAACTCTTGTGTACCTTCAGCCACTTGTCCCAAGTGAAAAGGCAAAATGACACTAGGGAGTAACCCATGAACATCCAGTGGTTAGTCTGCTGCAGCACATAGAAGACAGGCTTCAGGACAGTGATGGAAGCCAAAGTGCTCAGTGCAGGGCTGTTGCGCACCAGACTGACAACCTGAAAAAACAGAAATTGGCCACTGGAATCCCCCACCTATAATGAGACCTCCTGGGGCAACCTATGCAGGGCTGTTTGCATTCTATGATTATTGAATTAGACTCTACTGCAGTTCTCAAATACATCTGAAGGGAGTGAAATGCTCTATCCAGCTCAGCAGAATGTTATTGTTAAGTCTGCTGGAACTAAATTTCATCACTTAAACTATGGCTTTTATACTAAGTTTTAGCAGAAGCATCAAGCTTGTGTGCTTGTCTTGCCAGCTTTCCAGTTACTAAGAGCTTCAACTGCCATTTCCTCAAGCACTAGCATTCCTCTGCCAGTTTGTATGGTAGTGACAGATAACTGATACAGAAAATCAAGAGTTTACTGAGTGCTTACATGCACCAGCCTATATGCCAAAAGCTCATAGGACAGATCAGTTTTGTAGTTGATTCTTGTAAACCCTCCCCTGTGGCAGTTTCTACATGCTGCTGCAGACTTAGGAGTAACTAGAGCCCACAGGAACTTGGCTATGGTAGGCTCTCCCCTTCTAATACACCAGACAGAACTCACCTGTTTTTCAACAATGACTATAAGGAGCTCCATTTGGAAGCACACCAGGTAGCCAGAATGCAATCCATGCCAAATAGCCAGGAAAAACAAAGCTAGTGCCTGTGACAGTAGCTTGTTGCCAAGGAACTTCAGCCGCTTGAAGATGTAGCTGGATCAGAGATGCAACAACTCAGTGCAATTCTAACTGGTTAGTTACCCTCCCCTTTCCAGGCTGGAGACATACGGCATAGGAGACTGAATGCTTCTTAGTAACCTACGGCCAGTGGAATAGGACAAATGCTGCCAATCTACAATACCCCCAACCTGATGGAATCCTGACTGTTGGGAGAGTTCGGTTTGCTGGCAATGCCTGCTTAGTAGGAGCATGACCAAGCATTTGTCCAGCTAAAAGCTGTCTCAAACCACCAAGCAATTTCAATGGGACTACTTAATGCACACAAGACTGAAAGCTGTTCACTCCATTTTAACATCCCTGTCCCAGCCAGGGAGCCCATCAAGCCCCACATCCCATTTGCAACTCTGGCTGGGTCTGGGTTGAGATGACACTATATGAAACAATCTATCTCCCCTGCTCACCGGGCCACCCAGGCATTGGTGTTGATGTTGAAGGATGCGATCGTCCCTGTAAACAAGGGCGTTGTTTCATATAACCAGACCTTCATATTGGCACAGGCATCCCACTTTGGCTTTCCATTCTCGTCCTGCCCATTGTATCCAAGACCAATGAGGATGCAAACGCCTTCCTGTGACAAACCACATGATAAGGGAAAAGCAGCACCCCTTCCTAGAGAGGCCAAGGTTAAGCAATTGCCAGATTGCATACGAGACCAAGCAATTGCTCCTCCGGTGGCACAACCAAACAGCAACCAGCTACTTCCCTGCTTGCTAGTAACAGCAGAACTGAGTAGCCACTGGCTAGCATCCATTCTTTGTCCAGATACTACATGACTCCCTCCCCTCAGTGTCATGGCAGCCCTAATGGAAGAGGGCAGAGCTAAGCAGCTGCAGGGGCTCAAACTTTAATGCATCTGTGTTGCATCTTAAAAGGGTAGATTTTTACAGAGTACATCTGCCTTCCAGACTCACCGTGACAAGCCAGCAGGTGACATATTTATAGAGTACCACTTTGCCCCAGACCAACATGTAAAAGCAACGGAACCAGAAAGACTGCTCCTGCAGAGAATTAGAAAGAACCCATGAGAAGAAAAAAAAAGAGTTGAGAGTTGACTGAGAAATGGCATTATTAGACTTGAGTGGATAGGATCTCTTTTATACTAGCTGCTCTAAAAGTTAAGGGAGACAGCTAATATAGCTGCTGCAATCTAATGCAGGGGCACTCAACCTCCAGCCCATGGCACAGTGTCATTCAGCCTGCAGAGCTCCCCACAGGTCTGGAAATTTGGCGGTGGGGGAGTAGTGCCACTGCTCCTGTTTCTAAAATCTCTGGAACTATGGGGAGCCCTGAGCCCAATGTGCTGGATTTGATGCCTGATCCCAGCTTGCAGGGCTGGGTGGAGGCAGCACCAGGACCCAGGGCCCAATCCTGGTGTGGTGGACCAGCAGAGGGTAGCACCAGGCCACCAGGATTCAACTGCAATATGTTGGGGCCAAAAAAGGGCAAGCCTCTGGGACCCAATCCTGGCACACAGGAGATGGTGCTGAGCTCCCAGTCCTCAATCCCAGTGTGTGGGAGGCAGGATGGACGGTGCCGGGCCCTTGGGAACCACTGCCTGAGCACAGGGAGCAGGAGCAGCTGGCCCAGGATCTGAGACCCATTCCCAGTGCACATGCGGGTGGTGCCAACACCCAGGGCCCAATCTGCAGGACCAGCCCCACACTACTCATCTGGCCTGTGGAGCCAAAAGGTTGAGCACCACGGACCTAATGTAATCCAACTGCTGTAAAGCCACAAACCGCCATATGCACTAACATAATAGCTATTCTGGAAAGACTTTGGGCTAAATTCTAGAAATAAAAATCTTAAGTACACATTTGCTCATGGTAATGTAAAATCGCCCTTTTTTCTAAGGATCTCAAATATTTAGATCAGTCTCCAGCAAAAATGAGTAGATCTGCACAGCCAGCTGATTTTGCTGGGTAAGGTTGAAGTAATATGACAGAGGCAGGTTCCTGAATGAATGCTGGCACTGGGGACATTTTGGTTTATGAAGGGTCCATGATATCTTTGTGACTTCCATACTTCCAACAAAACCTAAGAAATGATATGCAAAGAACTTTGTTATAGTAATGATTAAAGACTGGTACCATTAAAGGATCAAGAAATGCAAATGCTATGGTTCCGACAGCAACACTAATAGGGTTGTTCTACAATTATCATTCTATTCCTAGAATTCTGGTTCAATTTGTAATCGGATATACTGCTGCTTTTAATTAGATGCAGTCCACAACACCTGCAGTAAGAACTGCATTAATACTATATGTTTAAGAATGCCTAGTTTTACATTCGGGATCAATTACAGGTAATCTCAAAAAAATGTTTTCATTCAGTTTAATCTTCCTGTTTTGTGTAGCAAGTGCCCTCTAAAGGAGCAGATTAGCGTCTACAGCTCTAATTACCAAGGTTAGCCACTTACCAGGAATTTATCAGAGAGAAAGTATTCATCAGAAACATATGGGCTCAACAGGGTGTAGATTACCAGACAGATGAGGCCCAAGGTCAGGCGCTTGAGAGCAGGCACAAAGCTGGGAGGGAGGAAAAAAAAGTGGAGGGTCAATGGGTACAAGTACACTGGAGAAAGACACCAGACCCCAAAACAGAAACATTTAAAAGCAGAAGTGAAGACAAGTGCTGGGATGGGCAGGTGAAAGAAATGGTGTCCAGTGCAGCTGCTGCATCCATTGGTAAATTGGTATCCCACCAGCTATTGGATGAGCTTTGCAGAATAAGTGATGTCCCAGGAAAATGCTAGCAGGTAACATGATGAGTTCCTGGTCTGCTCTTTAAAGACTGCCTCCCCCTCTAAATTACCATTAAGCCCAGTGCTGGATAGCAACATGCGCTAGGAAATGTGTTGCATGCCTTGTTAAAGAGTGTTCTGGCATTTCATGAGAGAGGGTGCCAGGGTGGTTCTTGTTACCTGTTGGGTCTCTGGCCTGGAACATCAGTCATCTCACCCCTTGCCAGTTTCTGATAGTCTGTCATGGAGAACTGGGGCCCCACCATGAAGGCACCATAGAAATAGGAGAAGCCCGAGACCTCCAATAAGGTAGGAACTCCCCGGACGGCAAATCGCTGCTGCTCTGGGGTCAGGACCTCCTATATCAAAATGAGAGGGGTTAATGTGACCTTGAAGGGACCCCAGAACAGCTCTAGGCCAGGGGCAGGCAATCATTTTGGCTCGAGGGCCATTTAAGGAGGTTTGGTGAGCTGCTGAGGGCCGCAAGCATAGCCCTGCCCCTTGGCCACCAACTTGGGACCAGAAGTCCGGTCCCTAACCCCTGACCTTTGCCACCAGAAGTCCCTTCCCTTGCCCCCTGGAAATACTCCTTTTGGGAGGGTGGTTGCCACCTTAGAATTAGAAAAAAAACCAAACCATACATTAAAAAAGTCAAACACCTACTACAATGGATTTTAATTTTATTACAAAAAATATTTTTGTCATGATTTGTGTACTATGTATAGAGGTGATTGCATAACAACTCAAAATTAATTCTTAGCTTTTTATATAGTGTGGGGGGGTGCTTATGGTGAGGTGGGGGGTGTTTATGATAGGGTATGGGGGAGTTTGTGAAGGTGTATGGACGTGTGCCTCTGGAACACACTGACCTCTCTTGCAATCAATGTAGGCAACACAAGGGTGGGGTAAAGCGTGAGCATCTGTGTGTGTTTGTAGTTTGTGGGGTGTGAGGCAGGATGGGAGGGGTGTAGGGACCCCCCACACACACTCCCCGACATGGCGCAGCAGCAGGCGGGGATGCTGGTGCCTGGCTCTGGCCAGCGCTGCATGTTGCAAAGGAGTGCAGTCCCTGTCGGGCCACTTAGTTCCCCAGCACTCATGGGGCATAGGAGGGAGGCCCTAGGCGCTGGAGCTGGCTGCTTTCCCTGCCCAAGCCTGCTCCAGTGCCTGGGGCTTCCCTCCTGTGTTTCCCTGGCACTCCCCACACTCGCAGGGCAAACTGCCCAGTGGGGGTTGCGCTCCTCACAGCACTGGCTGGAGCCAGGCACCAGCACCAAGCAGAGTGCCCCCCCCACTGCCTGCCAGAGTTGCCATGGCAGGGAGTGTTCCCATACGCCTTCTCCCCCACACCCTGCCCCCTGAGCTCCACGCTGCAGCCAGTCCCACACACTGCGCTCCGGCCCAGCTGCTGCCCCACCCCCTACCTGCTGCCCGGAGGGAATGGAGTGCCAGGGAAGCCAGCAGCAGCAGCCCCACCCCGTGCTAGCAGGGCCGGGCCCCTTCTGCCCATGAAGGTGGGAGTGCGGCATAATAGGGTATGTTGGGGGTGGGTATAGGTGCCTTGCTCCCACTCTTGTGGGTGGAAGGGCTGGGTGTGGCACAACTTGTTGGGGGGGTGCGTGCCGCAGACTGGATGAAAAGTACATGGCAGGCCAGATCTGGCCCACAGGCCATAATTTGTCCGCTCCTGATCTAGGCTCAGCATTCACAGTCTGTCACCTTTACAACTGGAAATTTTAACTTTTACATTTAGGGGACTATCTAGTTTACTGGTTTCAGATCCAAGCCCTTGCCCTCCCCACCCCCATAACAACACAGTCCTCACTTGAGACCTCTCATGGGGATTCACATTCTCAGGTAATACCTGAACAAAGGGCATGCCACATCCACCCCCTTCAGTGTACTAAGTGCAGTAGAGCTTGCAGCCTACTCTCTGATCCCCATGCAGTGGCATGCACACACCCAAGCTTCTATAAGTCCTAAGGGCTAGGATGTGAATGTTTCCTTGCACAATCTCACTGCACAATTCACGTGCAATTAACTTTACCTTCGGAAATATAATTGTACTTTGTTCTCTTTTAATCACTAATGATTGCGTGGATGCTGATGGCAGGGCAATGCCTAGAATGGGATCTGTGGAGGCGATACCCTAGGGTAGGATTAGGATATTGCAATAAAGAGTCTAATCTCTCTTCCTTCATTGAGAGGCAGTCTTTCCCACACCGAGCTCTGGGATGACTGCTACTTTGCTGTTAGGGTTCTGCTAACGCCACCCTAGATAAGAAGCAAAGGGTGAGGATTTGCAGGGAAAGGTACTCCTATGACTAAGGAAGGAAAAATCAGAGAGATTGCATACGAGACCAAACCAATGCTGAGTGGTCTGCAAGCCTGGGCAGTAATTTCCATAAGGGAAGGGCTCTGTTATGCTGGGAACCAGGACTCCTGAGGAATGGATTTTATAGGGTTTGCAAGGAAGAGAGTAAGATACTAGTTCAGCTTCCAAAGTTAAGGAGCTTTTCCCATCTGTAATCCCTAGTGTTCCCAGGCCAAACCTGCAAAACAATTCCCTTCAGACACTTGCAGATGCCTCCCTCACAGTTACGGCTTTGCTGAGCTACGGATTTAGCATATACCATCTCTTGTCAGAGGCTCACTTAACTGGCCTCCAGCTCACAGGAAAGGAAAGGAAGGAAAGATGGTGCTTCACTCACCACAACTTGTCCTCCATCATAATAATCGATGGCTAAACCTAAATAAAGGAAGAGAGAAAAATTATGTCAAGCCACCTGTTGGACATGTGGAGTTGAACATCATGGATTCTGGCACCCTCACTTCAGGCCAAGGCTTGAATTCAGTTTGTGGGGATGGCAGAAAAGTCATGCATCACTCACCAATCAGTTTGAGAGTCAAGACACAGTGTGGCATGGTCCACTTGATGTCGTAATGCTCTGTGGCTGTGAAGTAATAGCCAGCCATAAGGTATGTCTGAAAGAGACCAAGGTATGGATTACTCAGGCTCTGCCTCCTCCTGCAGAGTTTGCTCTGTCACTCCCAATCACTCCTCTCACTCCCAATTACTGCTGGGAAGTGAAGAACTGAGCAACAGCAGGCTTCCTCCCTTAGATGGATGCAGAAAAGAAAGATTTACCATCTGAAAGCAAAATGTGGTGCAGACGGCAGTGATTGTGCGACCCATAAGTCTCAGTATGAGGAACTGGATCAGGACACATAACAGGGAGTGAAAGAACTGTGCCCCTATAGAGAGAAATGAACCAGAAATTAAATCATAGCAGGTCCTTTCCCATTGAAGGAAATTCTGGTCTCCATAGTCTCTTTCTCCCCCCTTTTGCCTCTGGTCTCTCTTACCAAAGTTGAAGTAGGCAATCGAGAGCCCTGTGAGTGTGTTGTACAGGTGAATGAGGTAGACCTCCTTCTGGAAGAGGAAATAGCGCTGGAACAAGGCAAATGGGTACCCTGCAAAGGGAAACAAAAACAAAAAACAAAAAAGCCAACATGACTCAGTGCAAACAAGCAGAGAGATCTGTTATGTAGTTCTAACTCTAAGCCATAATGTTTTGAGGTCAGTAACTACATATACATATCCTTGGCTGTTCTTTCCACCTCTTGAAGCATTACTCTGTATGTTATAATATATACAGAAAACTGTATTCAGAGAATATTATTAAGTCAAAGTGTAGACCACAGGTGTCAAACTGATCTTGGATTCTCAGCTGGATCTGGACAGTGTGGCTCCTTGCAAGCAGGATCTGGCCCGGGGCACAGGACAGGAGCAGTCACCCCATGATGGCAGTGGTTTGACAACCCTGATGCAGACCCACCAGTTAGGAAGGCCAGAATATTGTTGCATGTGCAGCCTTAAATCAGTCCCCTTGTACACATACATTACGAAACAGTCTTTAATTGTGCAACAATATACTATTTCCCCATAGCACCCCTGTCTGTCTCAGTGCACAAGATGCTGCTCAAGGGCATCAGGGCTGTCATTCAGGAAGCTGTTGGTCTATACGACCCATGCTTCTTGTTGCAGAAGTTAGTGAAGAAGTTAGATGACTGAAGGAAGAGAAAGGACAACCATATACTTAAGGCAATCAAGTGCTGCTCTAGAAGAAATGGCTAGAGTTCCTGCATAATGCTGGACAAGTTAAAGAATTCAAATTTGTCACGTGTCCATGAATTGTGTGTTCCTCCTTCCCTAAGTGCCCTGAGGTGCAGAAATGTAGATCGCACATCAATGCAGCTAATATCTTGCATTTTTCCTAACATAACTATTTGGTTATGTAACTTTATCATCTTTCAACAGGAAGACAAAGAGAGACTTGGACTCTTCCAGTCAACCAGATTTCTGCAATTTTATAGCTCTAGCAGGTTGTCATACTTTTAGGGAGATAGAATACACATGTTACTAGAGTTTCACAGATATTTGATGGTAGCAGAAAAATCTGTGGTAAGCCAGGCACTTTGGGTTCCATTCCAGGCTCTGGATCCTTCTCCTCAAATCTGGCTCTGTCCCCCTTGGCTCCTTGTGTCAACCCTGTTCCTTCTCCTTGACTATTCAGTTTCAGGCTGTGCTCCCCAGGTTTCCTATTCTAGTATACTTGTTCAGCTAATCACTTCACGCCCCACCCTCCAGACCTTAAATCTCATCCAATCTCTCTCCCTTCCCAAACAAACTCTTAGTTTCCTATTCTGGGTGTCCCATCCAATCTGAGTCTCCCACCCCCACCTTTTCCCACTCTCCTTACTAGCTAACCCCAGTCCCCTCAACTCCCTGCCCAGTTTAACTCACTCTCAACTCCCTCCTGTCTTCCTTCAAGTAGTCCCAGTCCCAGTTTTCTGACCTTTCTACACTCTCAATCCTAGTCTCATCATTCTTAACCCTGTGGGCTCTCTGTCCCCTTCCAATTCAAACCAATCCCACTACTCCTTGAAATCAGATGTTTTCTCCTTCATCCACTTCACTTCCTTGATCACCAGACATCTTGTCCCATTCTACTACCTTCCTTCCCCTTTGGTTCAGATTTTGTTCCATCTGCAAGTGATACAGAAGCTTCCTCCTCCTTTACATTGCCTAGGTGCCAGCAGGAGAAAGAGAAGAGTCAAGAGCCCAAGGATGACAGGACCCCTTTGCTTCTAGTTCCCATTTCCAACTTTGCTGAAGCCCAGAGCAACTGCTACAGGGAAAGAATTTGTATGGAATTGTTTGGATAAGGATGACCCTGTCTCAGGCAGGGGGGTAGATTAGATGACCTCTTGAGATTCCATCCAGCCCTACTTTTCTACAGTTCTACTGAATCTGTGAGAGCCTTTCTGAGCTCTTGTAGCAAACATGGGGGAAAAAAAAGCCCTTCATCTTGGATTCAGGTAGTAGGTGGGGAGGTGGGCAACTGCTGTGGCTCTGACCTGTGCTCAGATCTGCTACCATTCCCTGCCCCCCCACACACACATACCTATGCCTTGCTGCCTTGCTTCCCCCCTGCCACCTTTTCCTCCCCTAGGCCCAGCACTTGCTCTCAGTCACAGCTCTAGCTCCAGATCTGCTCCAGTCTGAGGCATAGAGCACGTAGTAGCTCCGGCCCCAACCTGGCCAGGCAGCAGCAATTGTGGTGGTTGCAGCACAGCTGCTTGGCCAGGCAGGGGCTAGAACCACTGCTTGCTGGAGCCATGACTGAGGGTAAGTGGCAGTAGAGAGAGGCAAGTAGAAGAGTGGGCAGGTACTTCAGGGTGCAGGCACAAGGGAAGACTGGTTCTGGGGGGCACAGGCACAACGGGAGGCAGGTGACAGGAGAGACACATGGTAGTGGAGACAGGGAGCAAAGGGCAGGGGTTAGGCCATTTGACTCCCCCCGCCATGCCAATGCTTTCCCTGCTGCAGCAGTGGGGGATAAATTTAAGACTAACCTCCAGTAATAAAATTCTATACATAAAATAATATAACAAATTTGTAATTTTTTCATGGGGGGAGGGGAGGCATCTCAAGTCTCCTTAAGTAATCTTCTGCAGCACAGGATGAAGACAAAAGCACGATGATTCCTTTTCATCTTAATGGGTTTTATTATCCCTCTTCCCCAGAGTCTAGTCTAGTCCCTGTTAAGTTATGCTATTTTACAAGACATTGTCAGTGTACCCATGAATTGTGTGTATGAATACAAATGTTAAAAGCAGATCTCTATTGGTTAGGATGTTTCTGAGGAAATTCTTGACCAAATGACTCCTCATCTATGCCAAGAAGCGTAAACCTAGGCATGAGATGACATACCATTATTATCAAAGCTACTCACATTATTTACATGGGTTTCAGACCATTCTGAAAAATAAAAAGAGTTCATGATGTGATAGACCAGAGATTGGGACTACCTTATTCAAGTGAACCCCCAAATTGCACCACCAACTCTGCAGGGACTCCTGTCTCAGTAGTATTATGTGATGTACTAGCACAATTAAAGGTAAAGTTACAGCAGATTTCTAGTTTAATAGTGTGAAATAGGTCTAAAATAAGTGTCTTTTGGGTTAACAGATTATCTTCATGTCTTTATTATGGTTTTCCCCACTGCTTTATTTCTCTAATACAGTTTTTGAGAAAAAGTATTGTTGGCTATGATTATAAGAAAGGGCCATGAAACTGAATTTTCTTAACAGCTAACATTTCTCTTTGGATCTCTTTTTCCAAGGAACTTGATTAAATATGTTTTAAGCCCAAAAAAGATCACTGTGATTATTTTACCTAATTCCTGCATAAAAGACCATTGGACTTCCCTGCATTAATTCATGGCTGAATTACAAGACAGCTATTAGAAAAACATCCAACCTTTATTTAGCAAGTTGTCAATGATGACGACTTCACCAGCACAGGGGTGTCAAAAACATGGCCCGTAGACTCATTTGATCTGGCCAGGGGAGTCCTAGATGAGCTGGAAATTCAGGGGCAGGGCCTACTGCCAAATTCCCACCTATGGATCCCAGGTGAGGACATATATCAGCAGTGACAGGTGTGAGCAATGGCTGTGGTAACCTCTGCACCACCACCACTGCCCTGCTGCTGCCACTGGGTCTGGATCCAGCCCGTAAGGAGCCCTGCAGTTCTGATCCAGCCTTGGGGCTTAATGAGTCTGACATCCCTGTACCAGTGCATTTTAAGGGGAACCGGTTGGTATGGCCTCTTCGTTTGTGTGGATTCTGTAATAATTACAGACAAGTTATTTGTTTTCTCCATTTATTTCTCTAGGAAAACCATAAATTACTATTTTAGCTTGCAATATCCTAGCACAACACTGGTCAATGCTGACTTTATACCAGTTCATAGAATTGCTGTCCCTTATAAGTGCATTTGCTGATGATCAGAAATCTTTTTGATCGTGCCAACATTGAAGAGAGTCACAGCTATCTGCTTCACTTTAATCACATAGGTTTTCACTGTTCAAGATAAGGACATGTAGCATGTGACATGATTATATTATTCTACTGCTTCTGCAACTTTTTGGAGTCTTCCTCTGTAAACATGGTAAAGGAAAATAGTAGCGTTACTTGGAAAATGGAATTTCCATTTCACAGGAAATTCTAATTTAGACCAAAAATCCAAATTCTGAGATTAACTGTAGAATGAAAATGCCTACCTCTGTGTGTGTGTGTGTGTGTGTGTGTGTGTGTGTGTGTGTGTGTGTGTGTTGGGGGGGAGAGGAAATCACACAATTCAATTCAGAATTAATTAAAAAAAAAAAAAAAGAGAACTTCTGGAACACTTGCACTAAAATGATATTTTCAAAATTATTCAACGAAAAAGTAAAAAGAGAGACACACACACACACATTCCTATGAAACATTTGGATTTCAAACAGAAAATGAATCCATTACTTTTTCAGCCACCTCAAGAAAATAACATTCAGTTAGAGTACGCACAATAAGAGAATATGAAAAAGCAGTTCTTAAACAGAAGAAATTTTGCTGTTAAGGTAGAGTTTCATACAGAGCACCTGTAGAATGAAGGCAGAAAGTAACTAACATACATGGCACGTTCCCAAAAGGCTGCAAGTGCAAGAGTTGAACTTGCAGGATGTGGTGCCATTCAGGTTCAATGGTCACAATGTCACCTTGAACCACCCAACAGCTCTTGTCAGTCTGCCTGCAAACACCGTGTGCAGCATTCTGCAATTCAGACACACACACAAGTGGCTTTCTCTGACATGCATTTGGCTTGAGCCCTGTTGCAGATCCATCTTTTAATTGCTGCTTTTCTGAAACTGGCAGTGGGAGCTGTACATAGCTGAGCGTTCATGTGGGCAACATCTTTTGGGAGAGGATCAGTCATAATCCGAGTCCAAATTCTGCAAAAAAGTCACATGATATGTAACCTTTGAAAGGAAAGGCTCAGGAACCCTTGCTCAAACCTCAGATTTGGACCGCTAATGCTGCTTTAGAGCCCTACATGACAGTAATTTTATAAACTGTTCTAAAATTCAGATGGTGACTCACCCAGAGAAAATGGTGGTTAATAAGTTGTTTTCAACCTTAACTCTGGTAATGCTACTGTCCCATTATACTAGTGGTGCCAAAACATTTTGTCCCAAGGGCCAGATGAGCAGTGCCAGGTCAGTCCATGGGTCTGATCCAGTTGTGCAGAGCCAAAGGGACCAGAGCCCAATCTAGCTAGGCAGGGCTTGGAAATGTGGTGGTGAGGCAGTGGCAGTGCTAATTGCTGCAGCTCCTCCTCTGCCAAATTTCTGGACCCATAGGTTGCCTCACAGGCTCCCCAAGTTAGATCTGGCCCATGGGCAAAGGGTTGAGCACCCCTGTTCTAGAAAGAAGTTCCAATATCAGGGTTATGCACATGCTTAGACTACCGCAGTGAATATGAACTATGATAATGGCCATTTCATCTAGAACAGTGGAGCATGAACTAAATCGAAGTTTCCTAACCAGTGTGCTGTGGCACAAAAGTGTGCCGTCAGAAACGAACAGGTGTGCCATGGAATTTTGCCATGGCAATGAGCTACAATAGGTATGAGGATGGGGAATGCCTTAACAAGTGTGCCTTGGGCTAGAAAAGGTTGGGAAACACGGAACTAGACCTGCGGAGATGGGGAAATAACACTGCCTGGAATTTTAGCTATCAAATTCAGAAGCACTAGGTTAGATCCAAGATGTCTAGTGATTAGAAAACAGCAGAACAAACTCTCTCTTCCTTCTACCAGTAATGGGTCTTTTTATAGAATTCCACTTTGCCGTTTGCATGTTTTGACTAATGACCAATATGTACTAAATACATTCAAGATTCAATACTGAAAACACAAAGAATTGCAGATAATTAAGTTCAATTAATGAGTTCATTAACATACAACAAACCTGCTGAAAAGCATTCACACCTGCTGCTTCACAATGGAGATCAGCTGCAAATGAAATACCAGTAGATGCCTCTCCCACATTTTCAGACTACTGGAAGTTTCTCCCCCTTTCTTAAATCAGTTTTGATGCACTGCCTTATATTTCTTTTGATAACAGCATTCTAGACTGAGTAAACCATTAACTTATGATAATTAATCCCTCATACAAAGTGATTATTCAAGTAGCAGTAGAGTCACCTCTGAAGCTTTATGCTAAAGTCTAAGAAATGAGGGAGTTCAAGACTAGTTTAACATAAGTGAAACGCACTGCGGGATTACCATTTACAGTTACACACTTAGTTTAAATACAAAAAAATTAAAAGAATGTAAGGTGCTGACTAACAGAAGGATGGAAGTGACAACATCTGAATCCTTGAGAGAGAGAAAAAGGGCTTATGGTTCAGAGTGATTCCACTTCAGGATGCACAGAAAGAGAAATAGTAGAAGAAAAATGGCCCATACACACATCTGGTTTGTGGCTCTAAATAAGCCTATTGAACAAGAGATTTAGCAGCACAGAATAAACTTTTGGCAGAAGAATGTTTTGGGTTTTTGTGGCTAAAAGAACTTTGGAATTTAATATTAAAGTACAAGATCAACCTTTCTGCAAGGGATGTATAGTAGGATGGTGACACTGAAGCAGATGGTGCCAAGACACATATACTATAAGCTGTCCATAATAACAAAGTTCAACTGAGTCAGCAAGAGTTAAAGACAGAAGGAATGGATTTGTCCAACCAAAAAATCTGTCTGCTGGTGAAGAGTGCTGCCTACATGCAAACATTATTCATTAGACATATGAGCACAGGAGGAGCACAAGATCAGAAACTAACCTAAAATTGGTGTGCTGGCAACTAGCCCTAGGCTGTGCCACACCAAGCGTCTCTGGTGACATCCAGATGTACTGTGATGCTGTTGGTGCCATCACTGTGCTGATCTTGAGATGTCCTGACTAGTCAGAGCCAGAAAGAGGAACTTAGATGACATATTCTTCTTCATTAGCTCCAACTAAGACCTGAACACTACCTGCCATTGGAGTCGGGAGTTCCTTCTGTCACTTCCTCCCTCATGTCTCATATTTCTTCTTCACATTTGTTTTATCATCTTTTGCCTCCTGTGTAAAAAGCCTAGCTTAACCAGCCAAAACTACTTCTTTTACAATCTCATTATGAGCCAGTGACAAGAAAGGCAAGTAAAAACAATACTTTAAGCAGCCTGATGCTTCTACAGGGTTGCTCTGTGTCTCTGGGTGGCTGACTGCATTCTATGCCAGTCTGTCTTCCCTTCATCAGCAAGGCAGTAGAGGACAGTTAACCCCATCACTGATATAATCTAAAAGACTGTAAAAAAAAAAAAATAAAAAACAGTCTTTCCTTACTGAAATCCATAGTACTACAGCAGCAGTTCTCAACCCATGGCCTAATCAGCATACCACTGTGGCCCACGTGACATCCTTTAAAACACAGGAAGTAAGTTGTGTGGGTGTGGCCCATATAACACATTGAGAGCTGCAACTGTGGCCCACTATGGCAAACAGGTTGAGAACTACTGGTCACATATTGTATTGGCACTGATAAAAGGAAAATAAATATTATCGGGTATCGGTTCTTTTTGGCTGGTGTAGCTGATAATGCCACCGATAAATGCTGCATGCATGTGTGCAACTGCAGCATGAACACAGTCAGGAATGCAGCCTAGAAGCTTGGAGAGCAGCTTCTTGCAGGTAAGTCTATGGGAGGGAAGGGGCATGGGGGTGTAGATTAAGGCCCCCCACAGTGAGGGAGGGAGTGGGGTGGGGCCACCCCAAAATTCCCTGTAGCCTTCCCCGTAGCCACCCCTCACAGAACTGCTGGTACCGCCCACCCCACGCAGCTGAGCTTGTCTGGTGTCCACCCATTCCAAGTCCAGCCTCCCCACCAAGAGGAGGCTGGTATGGTCCCTGGGCCGGAGCCCACAACAGGAAGCCTCCCCAAAGTGCCCTGGACAAGCCGCCTGCAGCTCCGTCCCACTCCCAGCGCCGGGGTTCCATTTACTGCCCTGGCTGGGCAGCATCTGCCCCAACCCCAGCCCCACTCCCTCCCTCACTACGGTGGCCTTGACCTGCCTCCCCTTCCCCTCCACAGACTTACCTGCAGGGCACTGCTCTCTAAGATACTGGGCTACATTCCTGTAAATTGGCTATCAGATCAGTATCGGCCAATATAGCTGGTTAATAATCTGCTATCTGTATCAGTCAAGAAAATCTTCATCGATGCACCCCTACTGAGAACCACTGTACCAGAGAGAAAGCTAATAAAAGATATCGTAAAAATGAAGGTTGTAATAGCTTTAGGGTTGCTGGTTGTAGCCATGTTGGTCTAAGGACATAGGTAGACAAGGTTCCTTGGGTAAATGTGCTATCTTTTATTAGACCAACGAAATAGTTGGAAAAATTGTTCTTTGCAAGCTTTTGGGCACAAACATCCTTCTTCAGGCACAGGGAGAGTCTGCTGGTGTTTGTATGGTCTTCTGGGTAGAATAGAAGCCAACATGCAAAATGCAGGTCTGTGAAAATGGAAATGTGTGGCAGTGAGGTTCAAAAGGAATGGGAGACAATAGGAATGAGAAGGTAGTGGGGGGGGAAGGGAGGGAGGAAAGAGGGAGAAGGTGATGGAATGTAGCTGGTAAAATGCAGACAGGTTACCTGGGGTTATTAGATGGCAGACAGGTTATAATGTGCCATAAAGCCAATGTCTATACAGGCAGTCCTTGACTTACAATGTTTTGCACTAACAAAGTTTATAAATTGACACCCTATTTCAAATTTCTGACATTAGTTTCAACTTTACAACGCTTGATCCAAAGCGATGCCATACCAGCGAACAAGTTTTCTGTGTCGCCCATCTCCCTGGAGAACATCTGCCCAAACTTCCTTGGACACTTTCTTTAAGAAAGCAGACAAAACTACTGAGAAGACTCCAACCAAGAGCCCTTCAAAAAGTCTAGCAAAGTCACCTCAAAGAAGTCCTTCCAAATCAATATGATTGCTATTTACAATATAAATACAGTAATGTAGCTATATTACTCATCTATAGAATTCACTGAGTACAAAATTCTAGATTATTTTTGGTGAAAATAAGGTATTGGGCCTTGGTTCAGGAACCAATCCCACATTTATAACATTGTTTCCTATGGGAAAAATCAGTTCTGAGTTGCAACATTTCGACTTAATTGGTTCCTAAAAACCACATCTTAAGTCATAAGTCTGAGGACTGCCTGTATTTAGTCTATGATTTTTTTGTATCCAGTAGATTTATGAAGTGAAGTTCACAGGCTTGTCTACAAAAACTCTTTTGTAAATTCCATTTCAGGATTACAAAACCCCTTTCATAGACGAGCCTATGAACTTCACTTCATGTATCTATTGGATACAAAAAATCATGAATTAAATATAGATATTGGATTTATGACACATAATAACCTGCCTGCCATCTTATAACCCCAGGTAACCTGTCTGCATTTTACCAGCTACATTCCATCACTGTCTCCCCCTACCCCTGCAACTACCTTCTCATACCTATTTTCTTCCATTCCCTTTGAACCTCACTGCCACACATTTGCATTTTCACAGACCTGCATTTTGCATGTTGGCTTCTATTCTACCCAGAAGGTCATAATATCTTACTTTTCAAATTCTGTTTTTCCTTCTTTCTTCTATATCTTTAATAAAAGGTTTAAAAGATATTTAATGACAATAAGTTCTTGCCATGGAGCTAAGCAGGCCTCCTGAGGTCAAAACACGTGCTCAAAATCTTTAGCCTTGTTTAACTCCACCGTATTCCAGTAACAAGGTCACGTTAGGACCTTTGACTTTCTGGTATCATTCATTCCACTGAAATATCTCAAGAGGAAATAACTCAGGCTGGAGCCAGCTGTACAGGGCCTTCTGCAGTCCTGCACCACCTAGAATGGTGGTGGCAGAGAATCTTCTCTTCTCCCAGAGACACAAGGACAGCAGCATGGAGCCCCTATATTAACCCCCAGGTGCTGGCAGGATTTTTTTTTCGCCACCTCAGTAGAGAAGCAGTGGGAGCAGCAAGTGTGGGAATGCTGGTATTTAGCCTGGCAGCTGGAAAGCAACAGC